GCGCTTATATAGTAACGTCAGGTGTAGCAGACGAGGGCATATTCTCTGGTAGGCGGGATTCCCCAGTGGAAGTAGGTCCTTCCCAAAGAGATGGGTTAGTTGTAGTAGTAGTTGTCGTAGTCGTGAAGGTTATGTACATGTCCTCAGAATTAAGATTCCATGATGTTGCAGTGTCTGACAAGTTGTGTACGAATGGTATATAATACCGACAAGAAGAGATTAAGATACATGTGCAACATCTGGGTATCTTTATTGTAGACGTATCGCCATCCAGTGGCTTTATCAATACAAATTCTAGGACATAACTTGAAGACAGTAGAACTATGTACAGAAGATGAGGTAATCAGTCCCTCAACCTAGGAGTAGGTGCGAAGAGCACCATAGTCGTGGAGATTCTGACGCAGAAGAAAGGATCCTGGCGCTTATATAGTAACGTCAGGTGTAGCAGACGAGGGCATATTCACTGGTAGGCGGGATTCCCAGTGGAAGTAGGTCCTTCCCAAAGAGATGGATTAGTTGTAGTAGTAGTTGTCGTAGTCGTGAAGGTTATGTACATGTCCTCAGAATTAAGATTCCATGATGTTGCAGTGTCTGACAAGTTGTGTACGAATGGTATATAATACCGACAAGATGAGATTAAGACACATGTGCAACATCTGGGTATCTTTATTGTAGACGTTTCGCCATCCAGTGGCTTTATCAATACAAATTCTAGGACATAACTTGAAGACAGTAGAACTATGTACAGAAGATGAGGTAATCAGTCCCTCAACCTAGGAGTAGGTGCGAAGAGCACCATAGTCGTGGAGATTCTGAAGCAGAAGAAAGGATCCTGGCGCTTATATAGTAACGTCAGGTGTAGCAGACGAGGGCATATTCACTGGTAGGCGGGATTCCCCAGTGGAAGTAGGTCCTTCCCAAAGAGATGGATTAGTTGTAGTAGTAGTTGTTGTAGTCGTGAAGGTTATGTACATGTCCTCAGAATTAAGATTCCATGATGTTGCAGTGTCTGACAAGTTGTGTACAAATGGTATATAATACCGACAAGATGAGATTAAGACACATGTGCAACATCTGGGTATCTTTATTGTAGACGTTTCGCCATCCAGTGGCTTTATCAATACAAATTCTAGGACATAACTTGAAGACAGTAGAACTATGTACAGAAGATGAGGTAATCAGTCCCTCAACCTAGGAGTAGGTGCGAAGAGCACCATAGTCGTGGAGATTCTGAAGCAGAAGAAAGGATCCTGGCGCTTATATAGTAACGTCAGGTGTAGCAGACGAGGGCTTATTCACTGGTAGGCAGGATTCCCCAGTGGAAGTAGGTCCTTCCCAAAGAGATGGGTTAGTTGTAGTAGTAGTTGTCGTAGTCGTGAAGGTTATGTGAATATGCCCTCGCCTGCTACACCTGACGTTACTGTAAAAATAGGCCTTAAAGAGGGCTGCGTGATATCACCATGGTTGTTTAATATATTTATACATAGGGTTGTTAGAGAAGTGAATGCTTGGGTGTTGGGAAGTGGTGTGGGATTAAAAAATAAAAAATCTAAAACAAAGTGGGGGTTGACACGGTTGCTTTTTGCTGATGACACTGTGCTTTTGGGAGATTCTGAAGAGAAGTTGCAGAGGTTGGTGGACGAATTTGGGAGGGCATGTAAAAGAAGGAAATTAAAACTGAGCATAGAAAAAGCAGGGTGATGAGGATAACAAAAATTGTAGGTAATGAAAGACTGGATATCAGGTTGGAGAGAGTACAGAGGGAGTGAGTGTTTTCAGATATTTGGGAGTGGACTTGTCAGCAGGCGGGTCTATGAAAAACGAGGTTAATCATAGAATTCATGAAGGGAAAATAGGTAAATGGTGCACTGAGGAGTCTATGGAGATAAAAAATGTTATCCATAGAAGCAAAGAGGGTGATGTATGAGAGTATAGTTATACCAACGTTCTAATAAAGATGTGAAGCATGTGTGATGAATATTACAACAAGGAGAAGGCTGGAGGCAGTGAACATGTCGTGTCTGAGGGCAGTGTGTGGTGTGAATATTATGCAGAGAATCTGTATCTTGAAAATTAGGTGCGGGATTTCTAAAATTATTATCCAAAAGGGTGAGAAGGGGTCATTGAGATGGTCCGAATATTTAGAGAGGATGGAATGATTTGAAAGATGTATATAACTGTAGTGAAAGGAAAGTGGGGGAAGGGTCATCCTAGGAAAGGTTGTCAGCATAGTTGCTGAATCCCCTTACATGTGTTGTATAGATTAATTGAGCATTATAGTATCATCAATGTGTTTATATAGAAGATCCCTTAGGCCTGTGACTGTATGACATCACGGGATACAGCTTGAGTGTGAGGCGAGCTACCTCAGCCTCAGACGGCGTATAACATCCAACTAGGCAGTGACACGGCAGGCTGGGCTCCATCTCCCATTATCACAGTCTGACAATATATATCGTTACCATCCAACTAGTGTGTCTACCTTCAACCCTCAAATCTCCTTTAAGAACCCCTTACGACAATTGGTGACAGCGGTGTGGGCGTAAAATTTATAATTGCGCCGATGTACGGAGATTTCTTTCGACCAGCAAGACGGCCATTTCGTGTCATCAGTAGGCCGACCTAGCCAGCCAGCTACCTCAGCCAGTTCCTCCCGCCCAAGCTTCTACCAGCCACTACATTATTCACTGGTCAGTCTCTTTGTATTAGTGTTTATCTGCTTATTTGCATCACTCCCGAGGGGTTGACCCGAGTTTGCAAAGTAAGCCAGCAACCAGTCTGTGGTGGGGGAGTCAGAACAACCCAGTCAGTCTAGCCTAGCCTACTCCATCCAGCTTTTGCCTGCCAAGCCAGCTTTCCACCCCTGCTGTGCTCTTCGTGAGAAGTTGTCAAAGCTATTCTGTGTGAAGAGTTAAGATAAGCCAGCAAGCAACTAACCCAGGTGTCTTACCCCAGTACTCAAGCAAGCCACGTGGGTACAGTCTTCATCGCTTTGTGCTCAAGCTCCAAGCCATTCTGAGTGCTCTTTTTCATCCCTGTGGTGTTGTGGTAATTCGTGGGTTTGTTTTTAAGCCAGCTGGCTTAGAATTATCTTCGCGCCAGTGTGGTTGTCCCCAGTGAGGCTTACACCGTTCATCCCATAGGCCCACTCACTCACCACGCGGTCTCGGTCTTAGCCCTGTTCCAGCCCACCCACCCACCCACTCGACACCGCTGCCTCAGATGCCTCACTCAGCCATTCACCCACTCACCCAACCTCTACCATTGTTTTGGTACTCTTACTACAGGTACTAGCAACATATTTTAAGGACCACATAGGGGGTCAAGAGCTAGAGTGTGTTTGGCGCCACCGTTGAAAGCCTCATGTGTGAGTTCATCGTCGATTTAAGCGCAGATACTACGAGTGTGGAGAGAAGTCAGTGATCGTAGCCAGCCACGAGAGCTTCTTACTGGTGATGTACCAGTTGACGGTTTCTCTGCTGGAGCAAGTAAGCATCATATCATCTCTTTCCTCTCTCTGTAGAAATGTTCCATAATTATTTTTTGATGATCACTGAGCTGGTGTATCCACGATGGATGAAACACATCTTTGTTGAACAAGAATAATTAGTAGTACCGATCTTCAGGTGAATATTGTGAGGGAAGATGCCCATCAAAATATGAAAAAAATGAACAGTTCTTCATCAACAATACAAACAAACAGTATCAAAATCCTGCTCGGTGAGAAGCTGCAAGACTGCCATGCAGAAAGTGATGCCAGTTTGTTAACTGTAATTTTCGTTGTGTTAACTGTCTTGATGGTATGTTCACTCAGGTGACTGGTGGTGCACAGCACTGTCTTGATGGTATGTTCACTCAGGTGACTGGTGGTGGTGCACAGCACTATCTTGATGGTATGTTCACTCAGGTGACTGGTGGTGGTGCACAGCACTGTCTTGATGGTATGTTCACTCAGGTGACTGGTGGTGCACAGCACTATCTTGATGGTATATTCACTCAGGTGACTTGTGGTGGTGCACAGCACTATCTTGATGGTATGTTCACTCAGGTGACTGGTGGTGGTGCACAGCACTATCTTGATGGTATGTTCACTCAGGTGACTGGTGGTGGTGCACAGCACTGTCTTGACGATATGTTCACTCACAGGATGGGTACCACTGTAAAATAAACTTGAGTTTCGGGTTATAATTCGAAATAAATATACACATTATTGCAGTGTTTAGCACGTCACTACACCTCAGTAATGTTCACTGCATATCAATGTTTATATTATGACATTAAGGCTAACTCTCCACGTCCTTGAATCTAATCTGACTTCCTTCTATTCCTCGGGCGTTTTGTAACGTCTACAGCTCCAGGATTCACCAAAAAGTACTATATTTACTGAGGTTTTCAGACAGTATTCATGACAAGTACTTAGGTAAGGGAGGCAGTGTCTAGCTTGTTTACCTAACCTTACACTCCCTTATTCCCTCACCTGAGTCACATGATCCAGTGAAGTGTAAAGGCGGTAAGTGGAGCAAGGAACGATAAAAAAGAAAATAAATCCAGAATACTGGTTCAAGTATATTTCTTCTAGGAACACTTCACAATAATAAGGAAGGAAAAAAGCGCTCAAAATATATCTGACGTCACTGGAGGAAGGAAAAAAGGCATAAAAATTAACTCCTTATTCAGAGCAGACGAACAGAACTTCCCGCGTCATGCAGAAACTCAGCACTATTTTCCTGTTAGTGTCGTTATGTTATTTTCTGACAGTTTTCTGGTACTTTCTACACACTAGAAACACTAAATACATCTCAACTATCTCAGCAAGTGTCAGCCAAGTAAGGGTAAGCAATATCCGCCAGACATCAGTGTCAGGAAGTGTCAGTCAGACATCAGTGTCAGGCGGCGTCAATCAGTCACCCGCTTGCTCTGCATTGTTTACCATCACTGATGTTCCTGGAGAAGAAATATTCCAGCAGTATATACGTTATCTTACTCCCTCTCTTGATAATATGACGGACAGTGACAGTTGGCCAGCACAAAACTGGCTCACAACTGAACATGACAAGTTAGACCAAGTAGACACACCTGCTGTCACAGATGTTAGACACATGCTGCAGAGTAGACAAGTGGCGCAGTGGCCCTCGCGGGTGTTACACAGGTGTATTAAAAAGGAAATTATCAATGGATTTTACCCAGCGATTATTAAAAAACTCAGTCGCTTCTACCGAGTTACTGACCTTCAAAAAAGGACGGGAAATAAAGGGAAAATGGTGAAGAACAGACAGAAAAACCAACAGTCAAAAAGGTTGAGCACAGAGGATGAAGAACCTGGTAAATAGGGATAAAAAAAATGAATAACGGGTTAGGACTGAGTGGGGGGTTTACTCCCCCTTGTCCCGGTGTGGTAGCCCCTTATGACTTCCCACGCCATCACATGCATCAAAAAAACTAGAAAACAGCAATACTTTACGCATACTTTTTTTGGGGTGACCCCAAAATCAGGGACGTTTTTTTAGGGGACTTCTACGTCGAACTGAAGTAAATTTTAGATACATGTTTCATATTGGAAAGTTTCGTTTTTTTTAAATAATAATTTTATTTTGTATTTTTTTAAAGCTTATATTAAATAATGTGTTAGGGTGCGAAAAGTGTTTAAATGCTTCTGAAATGTTTTTCATAGGTATTAATAAAACCTTTAAAATTGTTCCAAAATTTTTCTTGATCATGTGAAACAGGAAAAGTCTCTTACATAGGTGATTTTGTTTTTAATGAATTCATTCAGTAAAGCTTTGGCATTTGTCGAGACTTGTGCTGGTTTTCAGGTCAACAAAAAATACTGAGGGAGTAAGGGTAAGTTTCCATCTATTCAAAACAAAATGCACAACAAAGTTCTTTTATAAGATACTTTTTAAATACTACAGATGGACTCTTGATCCAGGGAACTGGGCATCTTTCTGAGATTAAAACCCCGATTTCCCCCCATTCTCCCGTTGCACCGCGCTGTGTAAATTTTTTTTTTCTGGGTTTAATGTAAGTGGGTAATAAACAGATGTATTTGGGGCGCGGTGGACCGAAACGTACCGTCTATTGTATTTCCCCCCCCAAGTCAATTACGCTAAATGAGGGCAGAGTGCGTTTTTCTAATCAGTTAAATATTAAAATTAAATCCTAAAACAATTGTTTTTGATGACAAGTTTTACTTGGGGATAAATTTTCCCTTTTCTTCAATAAAAAAAGGCAAATCAATCTTATATATCCTTAAATTAATTAAAAACTTTCAGTAAACAAAAATCAACTTGGAAAAAAAAAACTGTGATTCATTCTCCGCAGTTTGAAGTCGCTCGGAAAAACATTATCAAGTTTCTGAAGGCGCGCCCCCGAGGAACCACCTTAAAAAAAATTTTAAATAAAAAAACTGATTTCAACTTTACAGTTTCTTCTGAAAAAATTGGGAAAAAACTTTTTCCCCAAGTAAAAACAGCTTTTAAGGTTTAAATATACCGGGGGTATACCTGTAGGGGTTGTGGGGGGGAACCCCCCCGGCCCGGTCTGTGACCCAAAGGCCCTTTTGGTGGATCAGGATTGTCACCAAGGTACTGTGACCGCAAAGCAAAAATACATGTAAATATTTTTTTCTTATTAGAACTTTTGGGGACATAATATACAATTTTTTTCAGTGGTGATAAAGACACACGCGTGTTTTGGCGTATAATATATTTTAGACTAAAGGCTACAAAAATTGTGATTTATTATGATTTGAGACAAACACAGAAATAATTTTAAATTTTTAATATTTAGACTTGAAATTACACAATCAAAGTCAACCCGAGAGATATTCTCCAGATTGATACATTCCAACAAAAAGATAAAAAATAATAAATAATAAAATTTTAATAATAATAAAATAATAATAATAATAATAATAAAAAATATAATATTCTTTTTTACAAGTAATGTAAAGTATACAGTCCTAGTGACATCTACATACTACTAACAGAAAGCCATTTTTAAAAAAACTTTTCAGGCAAATTAGGTCAGTTTTATCCCAGGATGCGACCCACACCAGTCCACTAACACCCAGGTACCTATTATTACTGATAGGGAACATAGACATCCGATGTAAGGAAACACACCCAATGTTTCTACCCTATCCGGGAATCGAACCACGGCCCCTCAGCGTGTGAAGCGAGAGCTTTGCCTACCAGGCCACGGGCCACCAACACGGCCTAAAACCAATGTTTAATCCATTTCATAAAATGATTCAACCATTAAATATTAATGCCGTTAATAAATGTTTTATTTTAATCAGGGATAATATAACACCTGTGGTATGGCAAGCATTGAGATTCAGTCTAGGGAAAGGGAAGACAAGTCCAGTTCCTTGGATCAAGAGCCTCTCATCAGCATCAACGCACAACAACGAAATAATGTAAAATAATAATATACAAACTCGAGATTACGAATGCCAAGATGGCGCCTAAACTTAATAACAACACCAACCTTCTCAGCAGGAAACTTAAGTTGAAATTTGCAGACGATGAGAGGAAGTTTTGCAGTTATGAGAGGGAAGTTTTGTAGTTATGAGACGGAAGGTTTGTAGTTATCAGACGGAAGTTTTGTAGTTATCAGACGGAAGGTTTGTAGTTATGAGAGGGAAGTTTTGTAGTTATCAGACGGAAGGTTTGTAGTTATGAGAGGGAAGTTTTGCAGATATGAGAGAGAAGTTTTGTAGTTATGAGAGGGAGACATAATGTTGGGACTGACCCATATGTTACACTGACACATGCAGGTTGTACCATCAATCTTGCCTATGTTACAGTACACTCAAGCTGTTACAGTACACTCAAGCTGTTACAGTACACTCAAGCTGTTACAGTACACTCAAGCTGTTACAGTACACTCAAGCTGTTACAGTACACTCAAGCTGTTACAGTACACTCAAGCTGTTACAGTACACTCAAGCTGTTACAGTACACTTATGCTGTTACAGTACACTCAAGCTGTTACAGTACACTTATGCTGTTACAGTACACTCAAGCTGTTACAGTACACACATGCTGTTACAGAACACTCAAGCTGTTACAGTACACTCAAGCTGTTACAGTACACTTATGCTGTTACAGTACATTCAAGTTGTTACAGTACACACAAGCTGTTACAGTACACTCAAGCTGTTACAGTACACTAAAGCTGTTACAGTACACTCATACTGTTACAGTACACTCAAGCTGTTACAGTACACTCAAGCTGTTACAGTACACTCAAGATGTTACAGTACACTCAAGCTGTTGCAGTACACTTATGCTGTTACAGTATACTCAAGCTGTTACGGTACACTCAAGTTGTTGCAGTACACTAAAGCTGTTACAGTACACTCAAGCTGTTACAATACACTCAAGCAGTTACAGTACACACATGCTGTTACTGAACACTCAAACTGTTACAGTACACTCAAGCTGTTACAGTACACACATGCTGTTACAGAACACTCAAGCTGTTACAGTACACTTATGCTAGAGTATACACATGCTGTTACAGAACACTCAAGCTGTTACAGTACACTTATGCTGTTACAGTACAAATATGCTGTTACAGTACACTCAAGCTGTTACAGTACACTAAAGCTGTTACAGTACATTCATGCTGTTACAGTACATTAAAGCTGTTACAGTACACTCAAGCTGTTACAGTACACTTATGCTGTTACAGTACACTCATGCTGTTACAGTACACTCCAACTGTTACAGTACACTCAAGCTGTCACAGTACACTCAAGCTGTTACAGTACACTCAAGCTATTACAGTACACTCAAGCTGTTACAGTAAACTCAAGCTGTTACAGTACACTCAAGATGTTACAGTACACTCAAGCTGTTACAGTACACTCAAGTTGTTACAGTACACAGAAGCTGCTACAATACACTCATGTTGGTACAGTACACTCAAGTTGTTACAGTACACTTAAGCTGCTACAGTACGCTCAAACTGTTACAGTACGCTCAAGCTGTTACAGTACACTCAAGCTGTTACAAAACACTCAAACTGTTACAGTACACTCAAACTGTTACAGTACACTTAATTTGATACAGTAAATTCAAGTGATACAGTACACTCAAGCTGTTACAGTACACTCAAGCTGATTCAGTAAACTCAAGCTGATGCAGTACACTCAAGCTGTTACAGTACACTCAAGCTCTTACAGTACACTCAAACTGTTACAGTACACTCAAGGTCTTGCAGTACACTCAAGCTGTTACAGTACACCCAAGCTGTTACAGAACATTCAAGCTGTTACAGTACACTCAAGGTGTTACAGTACACTCAAGCAGTTACAATATACTCAAGCTGTTACAGACTACTCAACCAGTTACAGTACACTCAAGCTGTTTCAGTACACTCAAGCTGTTACAATACACTCATGCTGTTACAATACACTCAAGCTGTTACAGAACATTCAAGCTGTTACAGTACAATCAAGCTGTTACAGTACACTCAAGCTGTTACAATACACTCAAGCTGTTACAGAACATTCAAGCTGTTACAGTACACTCAAGGTGTTACAGTACACTCAAGGTGTTACAGTACACTCACGCTGTTACAATACACTCAAGCTGTTTACCTGGAGTTTACCTGGAGAGAGTTTCGGGGGTCAACGCCCCCGCGGCCCGGTCTGTGACCAGGCCTCCTGGTGGATCAGCGCCTGATCAACCAGGCTGTTGCTGCTGGCTGCACGCAAACCAACGTACGAGCCACAGCCCGGCTGATCAGGAACTGACTTTAGGTGCTTGTCCAGTGCCAGCTTGAAGACTGCCAGGGGTCTGTTGGTAATCCCCCTTATGTGTGCTGGGAGGCAGTTGAACAGTCTCGGGCCCCTGACACTTATTGTATGGTCTCTTAACGTGCTAGTGACACCCCTGCTTTTCATTGGGGGGATGGTGCATCGTCTGCCAAGTCTTTTGCTTTCGTAGTGAGTGATTTTCGTGTGCAAGTTCGGTACTAGTCCCTCTAGGATTTTCCAGGTGTATATAATCATGTATCTCTCCCTCCTGCGTTCCAGGGAATACAGGTTTAGAAACCTCAAGCGCTCCCAGTAATTGAGGTGTTTTATCTCCGTTATGCGCGCCGTGAAAGTTCTCTGTACATTTTCTAGGTCGGCAATTTCACCTGCCTTGAAAGGTGCTGTTAGAGTGCAGCAATATTCCAGCTAGATAGAACAAGTGACCTGAAGAGTGTCATCATGGGCTTGGCCCCCCCTAGTTTTGAAGGTTCTCATTATCCATCCTGTCATTTTTCTAGCAGCTGCGATTGATACAATGTTATGGTCCTTGAAGGTGAGATCCTCCGACATAATCACTCCCAGGTCTTTGACGTTGGTGTTTCGCTCTATTTTGTGGCTAGAATTTGTTTTGTACTCTGATGAAGATTTAATTTCCTCATGTTTACCATATCTGAGTAATTGAAATTTCTCATCGTTTAACTTCATATTGTTTTCTGCAGCCCACTGAAAGATTTGGTTGATGTCCGCCTGGAGCCTTGCAGTGTCTGCAATGGAAGACACTGTCATGCAGATTCGGGTGTCATCTGCAAAGGAAGACACGGTGCTGTGGCTGACATCCTTGTCTATGTCGGATATGAGGATGAGGAACAAGATGGGAGCTAGTACTGTGCCTTGTGGAACAGAGCTTTTCACCGTAGCTGCCTCGGACTTTACTCTGTTGACGACTACTCTCTGTGTTCTGTTAGTGAGGAAATTATAGATCCATCGACCGACTTTTCCTGTTATCCTTTAGCGCGCATTTTGTGCGCTATTACGCCCATGGTCACACTTGTCGAAGGCTTTTGCAAAGTCT